CATGGAATCAAAGGGCGTTGGAAAAACTCTCGCCTACTTGGAATGGAAGGGCGTTGAGTACCTGAAGAAGACGGAATATCTAAGTGTGTCACCTGACCTAAACCCCCTCAATTACCCGGTTCGGGCGGAGCTCAACAGGGTGGTCTACAGTGGCGGAAATCAACGACCTCGCTGAACTCAGGCACCGAATCACGGTCGCGTGGCAGAATCTCTCGATGGCGTTCGTCCAGAAGGCTGTGGCGGAGTATCATGATAGTGTACAATGTGCTGTTGAATATGGTGGTGGAAATGTCCAATCAGAATTCAATAAAGTGTAACTTACATCGCCTTGAAAGTCAAGGAAGGGAAGTGTCTTTTTTGGCCCCCTGTATATATCACTGTTATCTATTATTATTATCTTTATTATCTATTATTATTACTGTTATCTATTATTGATGTTATATTATTATCTATTAATGTTATATATTTTTATCACTAATTATAGTACGGTTTTCACGTGATGGATTTGGAGTAGTGACAAGTGGTCCATTATCACGAACGCGGTCTCATGATTTTAATTCCGGATCGTCTTTCGCTTTTACCCCCCCCTACCTCTCCAAGCAAAGGCTAAACTAATAAAAACCCAGACGCTCTTTTCGGCGCTCTTTTCCCTCCCCCTTCAAATGCGCCACGCATGCTTATTCCATTCAGAACCGCAGCTACACTCTATAAACTGACACCCGCACACGATCATGCTACCGAATTTGGGGCCATGTTCCGCTCTGACCAATCACGATCGCTATTACTTCGGGGTCACTTGGTTGGCATCGAAGTACCCGGCGGATAGACACACCTACAAGGAAAACTCTCCATCGACTGGCTCCAGAATTCATCGCATTGGCGAAAATTTTCGTTCTTGACTCTACGAAATTGGCTGGCTCCCTGGCTTCGACTCACAAAAAACGTGACATTATTGTATGCCTCATCATTATTATTGTAATAATAAGCGGAGGGAGGCGGAGGTGGAGTTGTGACAAGCAAGTGGCGCCTTACCACTCGCGCGGTCCTGGGCTTCAAATCCCGGGTCGACTCCCGCCCAGGCCAACCAAGCCTTCTACCCTCCGGGGACGGTAAATTGGTACCAGATTCGTCTGGGATGGGAAAACACTGCGCGCCACTTTATTGACGGCGGGGGCGGGGCATTTGCTTTTCCCAGATGTGTCGATTCCATCTAGCAGCTCTTTTTCTTGAGTTGACACGTTTTGGGATGGTGGCTAGACGATCCTGCTCCAGCTTTACAAGCGTTCACAAGTTTTACCAAAGTGAGATTTGCAAACCGGAGCAAGGGAAGCAGCGGTAGATACGAAATGCCCCCGTCGATAAACAGCAGCGCGCTCGGGCGGAACACTCTTGTACATCGGCTAGTCTCCGCTAATAATTGCATAGGCCACATATCAATCGGTGAGCTACTACGATTCGAAATGGAAGTAGAATGCGTGCCGCATCTCAGAAAGGGATCGCCGACGGCAAAGACTCCATTCTTTCTTTATTCATCGTTCGTCTCAATCTGCTATTATACAGTATACAGGTAACATGTATTTCCTGCCCGGTGCTACCTGTTTAATTGCAAATTGCCAGTTTTGCTGCGGGTAGTGGGAAGAACTGTTGAAAACTGAACTGAATATGAAGGTGTGAAAAATTCGCCCCCAGTACTACGGAGTTGCGAATGCAGGATAAACGAGCAAATAAGTGTGTGATACTGAAATGAAGGGGTATTCGTCGATCAGGAATGTTAATCCGTGCATTTACTCTTTTCTCAGGATTACTCGTCGCCACAGAGAGCACAATAGTGGAGTCATGGGGAAGCTTACCTCGGATAAGACAACTGATGCTCGCTTTCCAATCGAAAGCATGCAGACAGGGACTCAAAAATCAATGATCCACAATTTTAGGGGAAGTTCTTAGTCAATAAGTGAATCAAATAAATCATAAATAAGTGACTGTTAAATAAGGTTCCTCGCGTAAAGGGACTGTTAACATTATAAAAAGTCTCCATAAAAAGTGCCCTGCGCTCAGGGAATATCATTGGGCGTTTGGGTAGATCTTGGCAAAAGCATGCACCGCCAACCACAAAATTTCTCCATGTCAGTGCAACTTTTTTTCTTTCTTCCTACTTTCTTTTCGCCAAATTTCGCTATCGAGCGGGAGAGATAATATGCTCAGTGCCACATGAAGGCAAGAAGTCAGGCAGTCGGAAAGAAATGGTTTTCAAAGTGAGAAAGATGCTCCTTCTCCCAGAACCCACAAAACGACCCCTCCCCCATTTTGATTCCAACAGCCATGCTACGCCCCTCCTTGTGTTCGCTTCTAAATTTTCATCTAGCGTACTGAAGGATTTTTACAGGACCACAAGGGAAGGGTTTGATCTTTCTCTTGTTTGGGGCACGTCCTGCCGTTGAGGGAACTTTTGAAGAATACGATCCTCCTCGAAACTTTCTCGGGCAAAGCCCGCGATCACTCGCCATCACTGATAGTGGATCAGCGGCTTGCATATAGACGACAAAGTTCTGAGTGTTTAGATAGTGAAGAAAAAAGCTGAGGAAAATTTGCCAGCCGCCCTAGATAGAACCCCATTTCGATCCCAGTTTGTACATGCCCAACAAACTCCATCTTCAACACTAAATCCGTACAGATGATTCCCCCCTATAAGAACTCTACGATAGTGTAAAAAACGATTTCCATGCTTTTTCGTCCCTCAGGTTCGTTTTTCACTGAGAGGCGGACCTAGGAGGAGTCTGGAGGCAGAATCACTGAAGAAAAGAGGAGTCACTGAACCTATGCTATAGCGCCCCTTCCTTAAGATTTTTTGCAGCGAACTTGTTGTTCGTCGCGAAGCACACCACCCTCCCGAGCCATATTTTCGACTTCTACACCTAGTCGCGGACCATGCCTTTGAAACCCCCTCTCACTCCAGCGACCAAATACGAGCTCCTTCGCTGGAGATTTCAGTGTACGACGATCCCTGATTTCACTACGATTGGGATTGCGGGTTACTCCTTTACTGCCCAGCAAACCATCCATCCTCCTCGAGTTGTCCTTCAACAGCTGGTTTACACGACAGGGTAAGAGTCCCTAATTAGCTATTGCTCAGTTGTTCTTACTGCCTTTTTAATATTTAATGAAATCCTATGTAAAGTTTGAATCCTGCTCCCTTGCGCACTCTCATTCTTTTGCAGTCTGGACAATCACATGCAGCACATGTCAAGTCCATTTCACCTGCCAGGTTTGCTGAACTTGATTAGTTCCTGGCAAAGCCCTTGAGCTCAGTCGCAATCGGCAGACTTTCCCATTTTCGAAGCTTGCCTCCATTTATCTGCAATTATTCTTTAGCATTAATGTTTCTGTTTAATGCATTTTGTGAAATAAACACAATAGCAGTTTATGAGCAGAGTGAGAGTCGTCGAGGGGGTCGTACTTCTCCCGGTGGAAGGGGAAGGGCTTACATGTGCCCGAGGGCTGTAAAAACTGTGAAATGATGTGGGGGGGGAGATTTGGGCAAGGAAAGTCACCAACCAAAGAAGTTTTCTCAAAAGCAACTAGGACCCCTACCTCCCTCCATCAACCAAATATGATCCCTTCGCTGAGGATCCAAAGTGCCCTTGAACAGAATGACAATCAACTCGTCTAGTTACCGATCGGTAAAGCAATATTTGTGCAGGAAGCTGATGACCCACAAAAAAATGGCATCTACTCAATTCGTGTAATCGACCGGCAATCCAATTATGCTTCCCTAGCGATGCTGATATGAGGCTCAGAAGTATCTCGGTGTCCCTCGTTCCCCTCGGCCAACGTCTGATTACTTTCCTAAAGAGTCTGAAACTCACCAGCTGATATATCGGTTCCTAGGCTTTCCCTTCCTATTTGAATTTTTTCAAATGTCTCCCGAAATTTGTTCACAGTTCGGCTTGGTGGGGGCACTGCAGTGCACCGCAGATGATTGCCCCGTAAAATTGTGAGCTTCGTTTATACCTGTCCTAGAGTCTACAAGTATCACTAAGGTGGTAGGGGCAATTACAGATGACAAAGTAAAAGAACTCACCATTAGTCGACAACAAAAAGCCCCTCATTGAGCCGAAAAACCAACATTTGGTGGGTGGGGGGGGAGGGGAGCGAAAAAAGACACTTTTCTTCCTTGACATTCAAGGCGCTATGAGTAGCACTTTATTAAATTCTGATTGGACATTTCCACCATCATGTTCAACAACACATTGTACACTATCGCGATACTCCGCCAGAGCCTTCTGGACGAGCGCCATCGAGAGATTCTGCCACGCGAGCACAGGCGACGACATGAAGGCAGGATATTCTCCTCGAGTTGGTCGATGTAACCGTCAGCGTTCACCTTCAGTCCGGGGTCCACGAAGAAAATATCGGTCTTCCATTCCAGGAACTCCGGTCCATACCATCAACGCCTTGGCGACTGCGGTGAAGATGATATCCTGGACCGTAGCGACGTTGTCGGAGCTGCTCGATGTTGGAGGTCTTCCAGATCAAGAGTACTGGTCTCCAGGTAGCTATCCATGGGTGACTCCATACAAGAAGTTTCGCAGCTGTTGGAGGTGACGTGAATTCCATAGGCCTTCTTCCAGTTTGGCTGCGATGGAATGGCTTCATATTTTGGTGTACATGAAGGTGATGGACGAGAGCCTGCTCCTGCTTATCGAGGAACATCTTGGGTATCTTCCGCCCTGGTAATCGCTAAACTTTACTGATATGTGACTCGGCCGAAGTGTCTTTTGTTCTATTGCTACCCTCCCCGTGGAGTAGTTTGCTGCAGACGGTGAGGCGTGTCAGGCAGGATGAGTTTGGCACGGTGCCAAACCCGTTCTCCACCAGCTGTTAAAGCGAGCAAGTGACAAGACTGTATCATGTCGTTCGTATCACTCGTTTCCCAACAACTGTTGTCGCGTAACTGCTTCAACAACTGGCAGAGAACGGGTTTTTCACCGTGGCACACTCATACTGCCTGACACGCCCCACCGTCCGCAGCGAACTACACTATAAATTACAGTCTCTATCAATGAAGCCAGCTGGGCGTGTCAGCGGCGCGCGGGTTCTTTCGCGGGGCCAGCCCCTTCTTGACCACTTGAGCGCCTCAGGCCACAATGACATGTGGAGAACAATCTGGTGCTTTTCCAAAAACCTTTTCCCGGCTGCCCCCCCCCTACTGACTTCAGTTGTAATGACTGCACGTGCCTGATATTTCTTATCGACACATATTTTTTTACTTGAGGATTTTTTTAAATTTCTCTTCGAACAGACAAATAGCTTGATTAAAAAATGAAAAATAAATTTAATTGAAGCATTACCTCTCAATCACATCAAATGCTTCACAGACATCATTTGTTATAGCTGAAAGTGATATTTTTATTTCCAGGATGCTATTACTAATTAGAAACTTGTCTAGCATCAATTCTTTTCATTACACCTTTTTATCGTCTATTACCGTGATGGAAACGGTCTTTCTATTTTTTGGATTCTTTCTGTTTGGTTATACTATTTATCTGGCCATAAATACGCCGTTTCATTGGAATCTACGACTAGTTATTACCGTAGTATTTCTACAATATTACGTTGCTATGGCTTCACGTACGGTTACATTGATGCTTCAGATGCGTGTTGTGTCTTTCGAAGGTATTCATTAGTCTTGATTTTTTTTCTCGTGTACAAAAATAGCTTTCTAGAATTGTCTTCCTAGGGCGTGCAGTCATCATCATAAACGAGAAGGCGTACGAGGAGGCCCGGACTGAAGCGCAGCCAAGGCAATATTTTCCACCAATTGTTGCGGGGAAGAGCTGTGCTGGGAAAAGCTGCCTCTTGAAAACACTGTGTACAAAACTAAATTTGTAACACGAGATAGCCTTCGAGTTTCGATGGGTGGGGCAACTAGGGAGGCGTCACGGCTGCTACTTATTAGGACTGCAGTTCCTTCGCTGCTCACTAGTAATCCATTTCAATGTTCGTGGAGAAATTAAAAATGGATTACTTCAGAGACTGAGGGCCAGGCTACTTGTGCGAGAAGGGACGCCTACTATTATAGTTGTTTGAGCGACACGGCTTACAGGGTTGATACGCCTAGCGGCCAAGAATATTGTGTCCCTTAGCAGGCGCTGTGTGGCCCCTCTTCCAAGTTTGGATGTGCTTATAGCCCCTACGAAGCAAGAACACGACGATCAATGCGCCCACCATTTATGAAGCACAACTGATATAAAGCGTTGCTGCACGGATCTATGAATATACACGTGTAGCCGTATCTATCAGAGCGGTTGTTGGCAGATGCCAGTGGGAAATTCGTCCGAAAATGCTAGTCTAGCGCCGCGCAGAGCAAAGATTTCTTCGCAATATTTGGCCGTTTAGCTTCGCTTTTTGTTGCCTGTATAGCACCCTGCTAACATTTTGAGTAAGTACCAAATTATCGTGCCTCATCTGTACAAGCGGGAGAGCAATCTACAGGAGTTCCGCTTGCTGCTTTGATATTAAGTTTGAAACGAGACTGTGCGACACTTCGACGAAATTTTCGGACCAAGTTTCCCTCCACTAAGAGGGACCCCCCAATCTACAGTAATCCCCGTTGTAATCACCGTTGTCTATTACAGGTGCCCACTTTTTGCATTGCTTCTAGATTCCACTCTTATAGAACTACGGTAAAAAGATGAGGTGGACCTCATCTCCAAGTAGACGTCGATTTTCGGAATTTTCGCCTTCTTAAGGATGCGGTAGGGATCAAAAAAGGTAGTAGTTAGAGACTGCTAACTTTGATGAATAAGCTGGGTACGGTCGCATTCTCTGATCGAGATCCATGATCTTTTGGCGTAGCCTGATCCTCACATGCGGTCTTCGCATTGCCGAGTAGTAGAAAGAAAATGAGTGTTTCTGAATGAATTCAAGCGTGACATCATCCATGTTTGGAAGTTGCTTGGAGTCCCCTCCAATAACACAGTGAAATCTTTATTCCATGCACATCTGCTTTTGGCTAAGCAATCTACTTTTCTCCTTGAGAGATCCTGCGAGGGATGTGTGCATAGTTTACGCAAGGACTCCAACACTCGCTACCAACCACAAGATCTCACAAAAGTTCTTCCAGTGTGTACAAGGAAAAGAAAACTCAGTCATGACCATGCAGCATGCAGAGTGGTCCAACTGATGAGGCACCCTTCCTAAACAAATGGGGCAGTTCAGCGACGGTGGGAGGGTGGCATTTTGCTCTTTCGCTACTTCCCCCCTCGACGTACCGATCCATCTATTAGGTCGTTGCAAAAGAAATGCAGGATTTTGTTTTTTTGTATTTCATACGTATTTTATTCCAATAAAATA